TTGTGTTTTTATGCTCATGTTACCCATGGTTACTCATGTATATTCATGTTCTTCACAGTGTACATCAGAGAGCTTTGTCCACAGTGGAAGGAAGGAGTAAATGAAAGGCTGATTGAATAATACTGGGGATTCCAGGAGAGCAATTTCATCCTCATCCTCACTGTTTGCAATGACTTCTAAGGGACAGTATTTTCTGAGCTGGGACCAGAACTGCATCAGTGCCATTCCAGTTGTGTGTTGGGGGAAGTTTTAGTAACAGTAGAGTTAAAACTCTCACTTTCAGGATCATTAAATAGTAGAAACACAGTCAATAAGATAAAAGCAACTAGCTTTGATACAGACCTTTGTAGGAATTGTTGGCCTGGTGGGAGTCACAATTGAGAAAAATCCATGTACTTCTTTGGTTTTAAAATGATAGGGATAAAATTTTGGGTTCAGATATAATTCTGCTACAACAGGAGTTCTAGTATCTTAGCCTCTCCCATGTGCTCTACAGCACCGTGAGGAAGAGTCTTGGTAAATGCATTTCAGCTATTGCTCATTCTACACCAAGAGGCTTAGTGAAACAAAGCATGAAGACAGATCTCTATCAACATAAGAAAGTATATTCTAGAAGCTATGTGAAGAGTATAGATAGCAAATATTCTTATGATTTTGGAGAGATGACCATTCTAGGGGTGGTCTGGCTGGAGGCCTGGATTCTATCTTGTCATTGGACCTCATGTAGCTCACCCCCAGGGGTGGCTTTAAAGTCCCTTCTTTTCTTTTCTGAGTTGGATTCATATGGCCACTCACATTGGAAGAGAAGTGAATTAATTTAATAAGGCATCTCATTTCAGATGGCTTTAATAGTCTGAATTGCTTTTAAGGAAAACTTGTAAGGAGAATAAAGAATTTCCTGTCAAACTGCATGAATGCCATATGGCTGGAACTAAGTCCATTCACAATGAAAGCACAACTTAACACAACAATGCTGGTAGAGCTGGTGGGTGAGGGGGGAGGGGGCTGTAGCATGCCTCATTAGAACTATTAAAAGAGGAAAAGAACCAGACATGCACAGAGTGAGAACTTTTACATATCTCAAAGTGACTAGTATTAGTGATCGGGCAGAACATAAACTGTGGATGAAACTGGTGGGAATCATAAAGAACATGTAAGAGTGCTACGTGAGGGCTGTGTGACATGACTGTACACATCAAAGTTCGTCCGTGTTCGTTCATTCAGCACAATAGGCAACTATTAAAAAATCACCACAAATATCATCTCATCACATGGCATCATGCTGTGAAATGCTAAAGACTTAGGTTGTAAAAATGTAAGTTCACTTGTTACAGACTATAAAAAGTATATGAGAAAGGCTGGTGAGAGCTCTGACTCTGAAAGATGAGAGCTGTTTTGGATGGTGGGCTAAATCTCCACAGTTAGATTATAATTATTGAAATGTCACTTGACAGATATTTCATGGCTCAATAGTGGTTCATGTACATATTGTGCTCTATCTCTAACTTCAAGGAAGACTTAATCTAGTAGGAAGGTAAGACAAATAAACCTGACAAACAGCATGGGATGACTCTTGGTTGAAGGGAAGTGAGGTAAATATTCTCCTAAGTGTAGTAATCTCAAAGGCTTAGTGAAAACAGTAGACTTTGAACTGGATCTTGAAGGATAGGATTTTAATAGATAGTGCTGAGAATGAATTGGCATTCTCTGTGGAGAAAATTCACAAGTAAAGGGGAAGAGATGGAGAAGCATAGCTGTGTTTGTGGAATAGTCTAAAGTCATTGTTGCTCAATGAACTAAGCAAGAGGCAGCAGGAAAGTGAGGTTGAGGATGGATTCATGCTAGGCTAAAAGGTGAGCTGCTGCCCTATAATAGCTGGTATATGTACTTTACAAGGCACGACGTGTTTCCATGTACTTTCAATTTGTTCCTCATAATAATGTTTTCAAGAATAGTCGATCACCCCATACACAGATGACACAGTTGAGACTGGGGAACCTTAACCTTCCAACATCCCCAAACCACTCTCTCCTGTTATGCTCCCCAGTTCATTCATGCCAACAAAACATAGCCCTTGCCATGTGGATCATAACTGTTTACTTCTTTCTCATGTACATTGTATTTATGTGTGGAAAAAGCACCGCCAAGAAATTCTATATGATTTCAAGTGACCGGTGTAAGACATTTCTTATAGGTAACTGGGCATGATGGTTAGAGAATGACCTTAGGTTAAAGACTTGCTACGGATCCTAACTCTGCTCTCTACCAGCTGTTTAACCTTATCAAACTGTGTGGCTGGATGTGTCTTTACCTTCAACATATGGGGTGGTCCAGCAGGAAGGATGCTGCCAGATGCCGCCCTCGAAGTTGGACTACTTACTCTCCAGAGCTGTGCGGCACTGTTGTTTTCTCATTGCTGTGACAAAATACCTGAGAAAATCAATTTAAAGACAGAAGGATGTATTTTTGGCTCATGGGTTGAGGGGATATGATCCATGATGATGGGAAAACCATTGTGAAGGAACACAAGGCAGCTGGTCACAGTGCGTTCACAGTCAGTAAGCAGAGACATGAAGGGTGCCTTTCACCCCATTTTCTTTTCTTCATTTTTATTCAATCTGGTACCAACCACAATCTGGTGCCACTCACATTTTGGGTAAATCTTTCCTTCTTAGTTAAACCTCTGAAAACACAGACACACACTGAGCTGTGTCTCCTTCATGACTGTAAATCCAGTCAAATTGATAATGAACCATCACGACCACTAGTTCTGTTTTATGTATCTGCATATCCTATTATAGCAACTATATGAACTAAACCTCTATGAAGAAACCTCAGTCAATAATCAGTACATCATTATTGGGCTGTCCAGATCAGCTCTCTACAGCTATGGTTTACATGAACCATATGATGGAGTTGGCTCTCTTCTTCTCACACTGACCTTTCTGCCTCTCCTCATTACTGTTTGCCACAAAGGCTTTTGTATGATCTAGGTTACATGCATCCAAGAGATCAGGTTGATCAGTGTGATCTGTTCCTTCTGTAGGAATTCAGTCTGTCAAGATACTTTGAAGGCAAATAGATGGAGCTGGTGTGCTTCGTTAATGTTATTTTAGTATGTTTTCAGATTTTAAATATTTTATCTATTTTTATTTTATTTGTGAGTATATTGCCTGAATGTATGTAAGTGTACCCCTGTCATGCAATGCCCATGGAGGACAGAAGAGGGCGTCAGATCCCCTGGAGCTGGAGTTATGGGCAGTCGTTAACTGCCATGTGGGTGATGGGAACCCAATCTGGGTCCTCTGCAAGAGCAGCCAGTGCTCTTTATAACTGAGCCATCTCTCTAGTCCCTGCTTTCAAATTTTAAATACAAAGTCCTTAACTTATAATTTGTCTTATCACTTTTAATTTGAGATAGTGTGACAAAAATGCATTCAGTAGAAAATATACTTCAAAGTTTGATTTTTGACCTTTTTTGGTATGATTTTTTTTTTTTTTTTTGG